GAAAGAGTGACTGTGGCCAAGCTCACATTGGAGAATTTTTACAGCAACCTAATTTTACAGCATGAAGAGAGAGAAACCAGGTATAGTAAAGGCTAGTCAGAATTTTCTGTTTAGTTAAATAAGCTGTTATTCTGTGAGCAAAGTGTAAACATATTGTCTATTCATAATATAAATATTGTAGGTTCCTGTGTTGTTTTTAAGTTTTTTATTCTGACAATGGACCTAGTTACTTGTTTTATTTTTTTCAGAATAGTTTCTTGTCCTGTGCACTCATATACTTATTTCAAATGTTAATTGATGTTTTAAACAAAATGTTCCAAACCATGAAATTATCCCCCTTTATTTTAGGGGGATAAGTTGTGAATAACTGACTTTAGTCCAAAAACATTTATAGTGTTGTGTGTACTAAGTGGGAATGGAAGAATAAAAAAATGAAAGATGTTGTTTCGACTTCATGAAACTTATATGAAAGAGTGAAAAGTATCACTAAGAGAAGGGCAAAGAACATAGAGATTGCTTTTGCCTAAGGCAACTGGGAGGGCTTCATAATGGTGGTGGCTGTTAAACAGGGCTCCTAAGGAATAGTCCTATTTATATATATGGAAGAGAGAGAAGAAAGATAAAAAGAGCCGGAGGAAGAATATTAGAGACAAAAGAAGTCACCATCAGTGCCAGGTCAGACAACATTCATTTAGCTCAAGTTGGATTTCAGCATTTCCTGGGAGCCTTGATGCTTTGTTAGTGTAGCTATACTCATGGTAGTAGAGACCCTCTATGAGTTTTGAACAGAAGATCAGATGATCACAAGTGTTTCTTTAGAAGAATACTTTAATTGTGTTTTATAAAGTGGACTGTGAGAGGAAGGATTAGAAACAGGAAAGGTTAGTGATGTAATCCAGGCAAATAGAAAGGAGGCTTGAATTAGGATGGTGAAAGCAACAATAGAGAAGAACTGACGGGTGAGAAAGGTTGGAAAAACATGGAAACTAGCCAAATGCAAAATGTGAGAGAAACAAGTCAATACTGGCTTAGATATGTCATGTCTGGGCAAACAGAGAGTGATGCAACTTTAGTGAAATAGGATTCAAGAAGACTCATGTTTTGAACTTAATTTTGGACAAGTCTAACTTCAGATTAGACATAGCTGAGGAGAGAATTAGAACTAGAAAATAAAACAGTTATTCAGAAGTCCATCTATAGAGACAGACAGATTAAAAGAAAATATGAGAGTTAAGAAACAGAATAGTGAGAAAAGCTAGTGTTATTATTTTTATCCAAAGTTCCTAAAGGAAGAAAGGAAAGAGAATGGCGCAGAGTAAAGTTAACCTAAGTGTCCATCATCAGCAAAAATTCCAAAAGATTCGATTCAGGCAGGGGGAAATTGATCACAAACAGAAGATCTAAATGCTAATATGTGGATAAATCCCAACAAAAATTGACTTAAAAACAACGTCAACAACAATAATAATGACTTAAGCATTTAAAAACTAGAATTAAAATCTTTTCTAATAGTAGACTATCAGGAGGGAAGTAAATAGAATTAAAGTGTTCTTAGATATCTTTGTATCTCTAAGGATAGAGATAAAATCGAGAGAGTGGGTCAAGATTGATTAATTTCAGACTTTGACAAAATGCACGTTATAATTTCTAAGGTAGCTACTAAATGAATAAAATTAAAGTTTGTAACTTCTGCAAAATAAGTTAGAAATAAATCGGAATATATAAGTAGTTAACATTAATTGTAAAGGTCATGGAAGTCTCATGATCAAATAAATCATCAAGGGATAGTGAACAAAGTAGAAGAGAACCAAGGAAAAACAGACCTGTTCTTTTTCAGGAGGCAGGCACTTAAGTTATTCATCAGAATTTTAAAGGTTCATTGTCTTTTATTGCTGAAACCTTAAAGTAATTCGGTTTTCCCCTCTATTTCCAAACAAAAGAAAGTAAGAATAAAAGAATTGGCTGTTTTTTAAAAAAAAAAAAAAAAAAAAGCAGTATCAACTTGGTGGTGCTATGGAAGTCATATTAAACAGTCAGCTCCTATTTCCAAAAGTTTATACTTTAAGAAAACATGATGAATTTTTAAGGCTTAAGTAATTGGATAAATACACAAGCCAAATAAAGTGCCAATCAACAAAACGTAAGAGCATTTTGGGAGGAAAATTTTTTTAAAAAGGTACAAGAGAAAGTCACAGTTGTTCCCATTAGGTTGTGGTGGAAACGGATGAAAAGTTAACTGCCTCTCTTCCCAGAATGAGGGATGCATTTATGAAGTGTTAGTCTTGGTGAGGATTCAAAAGGGGGCAGTATAGATTTGACAGAAGAATAAAGTTGCTTGTATGTTGATATCCCTCCTAGATTAATGGTTCTCTTACCCTTTGGATTCTTTCTGCAGAGGAGAAAACCCAAAATCATTCAGCAAGCAGCTCTGCAGTGCCCATAAGGTACATGATGGCAGGCACAGAATCTGATGTTAGGAGCTTATTCCATTCTAAGGTTGGGCTTAGGGGAATAATATGTAAGCAAAGGATAAAAATCAGTGTAATAGCACCAAGGTTCCTATTACAAATGCTGAGAAAGTGGGTGAAGAATATGTTATTAGATCTCATCTTCTCCTTTGTTGGTAATTTTCCTTAAGGAAGAAGAAGTAGTCTTAGTAATGGTTTAGTGAAGAGCTTACCTTTGGACATATTGTCATAAATAAATACCAAACAGTGTGTATTATGTTTTCAGTCCTCAACCCTATTCCCTTGTGGATAAATCCTGGAAAGTTAATCTTATTCTAACATACTCCAAAACTAATTGGGAAGACCTCTCTCAGGTTTATCTTTAGGAAAAACCAATATGATAGAAATAAAATACTTTACATTCACATGTTGCAAAATTTGTACCACAACCATTTCTCTAGTTACTTCATGCATCCTGTCTCTTTACCATCCTCCCCACCCCCACAATGCTTAGCTTTTCTAACTCCAATGGTGCAATTTAAAATAATGAATAACTGAACTTGGCTATACCTAGAAAAGAAAAGTTAATGCGTTACTTTTTATATTCATATATGACTTTCCAGTTTACAAAGAATTAGAATAAAATACACTCAATTGCATTGAAAATTTTTCCTTGATCGATTAGGAAATCAAGGTTTGACTTTAAGTGAATGATTTAAACAAGTTCATTAAGCTAAGTGTTAAAATCAGGATTCAAACAGGGATAGCCACCTTAAATGTTATACTTTAATCATTATAGTTACCTTTATATACTTCTAACATAAATATTGATAAATGTTAATGATTTTAGTTATGTCATTTGAATATTAGATAACATTATTATAACATTATTAAATATTAGTCACCTTTGCTCTCAATTCATTTAGGTTGCTTTAGAAGTAAAATATTCGTTTGGCCAGTATGTGAAAGCTAAATCTGAATTGGATTTATATTTTGAGAAAGAAAACTATTCTTAGTGATTATTTTGGTTCAAGTTGAAAGTTTTTTTTTTTAAGCATAGCAAATTGAAGTGGTAAACTTGAATAAATAAATGTATATTAAATGGGAATAGTTAGTAATATATTTAAAATTTAAATTATTATAATTTTTTGTGTTAAGGCAGAAGAAACTAGAAGTGGCCATGGAAGAAGAAGGATTGGCAGATGAAGAGGTAAAGTTAGCTGTAATTACTGTGACTATAGTTAACAATACTGTATTATGTACTTGAAAATTGCTGAGAGTGGACCTTAAATGTTCTTACTACAAAAAAAATGTTATATGAGGTGATAAATATATTAACTAACCTTATCGTGGTAATCATTTCACAATATATACGTGTATCAAATCATCACGTTGTTTACCACAATGTTTGTTATATGTCCATTATATCTGAATAAAGGTGGGGGGAAACAGTAATTACTATACAAAAATACCCCAAGTGATTTTTGCATTTATTGATATCAGATGATTTTATAACTTAGATAATGTGGATTTCATCATTTGAACCCGAGCTTCTTACTTTGTTGCTAGGATGGATATCTTGAAAAGGAGGCAGCTTCTTTTTTCAAATTCCAAGAACCTGCGTAGATTTCATGAACAGCATCTACAGTATTCTAGTTTTGTGGAACAAGAAGAGGGCTCCAAGAAGAATCAATCAGTTGTCAAATTTTCTCACATTTTTTGAAAATATATTTCTTAAAACTATCCAGTTCTGTAGTCTAATGCCACTACCTTAGTTTTAAACTAACACATATTTCATCTGAAGAGAAACTGCCCCCAACTGGTTTTTTCCCACTTATCTTGGCCCCACTCCCACCTATGGTTTTCCTGCACTCTGCAACTAGAGCTGTCTGGCCAAAGACAAATTGAATCATGTCCCTCTTGTTAATACCCTTCGTTGGCCCCTGAGTACTCTCAGGATAGGGCAAATTCTTTAACATTGGTGTTTAAGACCCCTTACAATTTGGCCTTTGCTTATCTCTCTCTAGCCTCACCTCCTGTCTGTCACCCCACTCCCATCCTAACCAGCAGTATTATATTACTTTAATTTCTGTGCTCTTGCCTTTGGCCTTTTTCACATGCTATTTCTGCCACTTGGAACTTCCTTACTCCTGCCTGATTCCCATTATTCTTCAGGAAGCTTTAGTTTTCACTTTAGGCATCACTTCTGCTAGAAAATTTTCCCTAATCTCTTGAGGTGCTCCTTCTACATTCTGCCATAACACTGTTTCTGTTAGCATTACATCTCCAAAGCTGGCAGAGGACTAGAATAAATATTTGGAGAATACATGAACAATGAGTCTTTCCCTCAAGGAGTTTACAGATTAGAAGGAGAGATTACATATGAGGGTGTGTAAAAGTATGTATACATGATGAAATGTGACAAACTTTAAAAATACAGAGATTTTTTCCCCCCTAATTCAGGGGATCAGAAAAGGTTACATGGAAGAGGTAACAATTGATTTGAACCTTTAAAAAGTAAGTAGAATATACATTAGAGTTAAGAGGTATATACAAAATGATGAATATATATGCAGGATAATGAATAATAAAGGGTACAGTCAAGGAATTAACACAGTACATTGACAGCACATAATGGAAAGCTAGGCTTGGAATAGTTTACTAAGGCAATAAGGAGATATAACCTAGATGAATTAGCTAAACAGTTTTTAATGATCAGGGAAGAATTTATATAGTATTTGAAGAGTAGTCTTCCAAATGATGATTTGAAATCAGACTGTTATCTAATCTGCTATGCACTTTTCCTAGGACTGTACCTGTTTTTGTTTAATATTTGCAGTATTAAATGACAAAATATTTTATGATCTTGTACCGAAGGTGGTTACTTTGTTAAATCAGTCGGCTCAATCTAGAAAACTCAAATATTACTATTTTAAAAATATTCATATTCTTTAAATTTTAAGTGAGAAAGGTAATGATTTAGATCTGTATATCAGTTTGTAGAGAAGAAAGACAGCACATCTTTTCTCATTTTTATTCATTAGTATTAATGACTTTCTTATTAATAACCTTGTAGTTATATTAATATACATTTTACATCATTATATTGATATAGAAATCATATGCATAAGGTCTTAATTTGAAATCTGGAGATAACAAAAAGCAAATGCACAAGGTCCCAAGGAAGGAACATAAGTGAGAGAAGTCGATCAGGTTGGTTTTATAATGTCATCTTAGGTTACTTTCTTTTGATCTCACATACTTTGTATATTCATCCATAGGAATATTTTTTTACTTCTAAAATAAATAGATTTTTTTCCTTTTTCTAAAATATTTGATAATCACAGTTTATCTTTTGATAAAGTTACATCACTTTCTACTTTACTAAAAGAAAACCAGAGCACCAGCCCAGTTATACACATCACCTGGTGACTGGCATCAGCGATAGAGACTGATGAATTAGAGAACTGATACCCATCAAATGGGGACTGTCACTGTTGGCCTAATGTTTTTCAAGAGAAACTTGAAATCTGAACTTTTATGTGAAATCACCCACTTTTTAAAATATTGGCAAGTATTCAAATGTTTTAAAAAACTTGCAGGCCAAGTCAAGTATATCTGTAAGTTGACTATAGTTTGTAGCTTCCAGTTCGCAATCTTTGGTCTGCACCAGGAAGTACAAAGTGTATGAGGATGATTTTCCTTATTCTTCTAAATGACTTATAGAAAATGTGAAATGATTTTTCCCCTAAAAATAGTCAGTGGCCCATAATAACCATTTATAAAACTAAGATTTTTCAGTAAAGATGTTTTAATTCCATAAATGCTTATTATTAGGCCCCAGGCCAGGTCCTAGATTATGTCAGATTCTACAGAATAGACACACACTCTCAACCTAATATAAAATATGTTGGAATTATCTTTATGTGAGATGTATCTTTTCAAAATAAAATTGTTTTATAAAAATCTAGTTTTTGAATGAAAGCTAGTATTTATCCTTAAACTCATTCTGTAATAGAAAATTATTTGTGAAATCATTTGTGAAAGCTAATTGTAAAAACTGAACCATATAATATAGCCATGAAAAGTATATATACTGAACTGAAGTTGCTAGCTGAACCCTTTCAAATCTCAAAACTTCTGTATGTATTATATCTTATACAAAACTAAGCACCCACAAATTTAAGCACCTACAAATTGAGAGTTTGAGGAACACCCATTTAAAAAGGAATGGAGAAAGGAAGAAAGCGATGTATTTTGTTTCATGTCACTTAAGAAAATCCCATCAAACGTGGAATATTATTAACTCTAATGGAAAACCAAAATAGGCAAGTTTACACTTGATCTTAGCCAAAGGCAGAGAAGCGATCAAAATAGGCAAGTTTAAACTGCAAAAGAGAGCCATGAAATATTAAGCCTGTCCACAGATTTTGTTGTCCTTTTTGGAGGGGAAAGAATGTGATGACCACAAAAATGTTACTTGTTTTTCAAGGCAACTTAATCTGTACAAGTCGTAAGCAGATATGTCAACTTGCTTTTTTTCATCGATTTTTTTTTTAATGGGAACTTGCTTCAGCTACCTCTGCACTTCAACATGGACTTTAAGATTAACATCATGGAGTAGACTTTTTGAAAGTAATGTAACAGTGCTATAGGTGATATCCTACTTTTGTAGGATCCTGTATTCCACACACTTGTGATTCTCCCTTTTTGTCATTAAATAGCTGTCTCCAGCTATATAAACATCATTTACTTACCGCATTACGCAACCTATCAGATATTAGTGAACATTATTTTCTTTAGCTCTCTGTCAATTTTGAACATAATTTACGAAATTGTCATAATGTTATATTTTCCATTTAGATTAGACAAATTTCTGAAACTACATCCATCTGTACTGTTTCATAATTCATAAAGTCAGAAATTCAGAATGTCTCAAAATTTTTATATTTATGTAATTTTGTCTTTACTGCTTTGAAAAACAGTATTATAGTGCCACCATGTGGCCTTTTTTTTATTATAGTCTTAAATTTAAAACAAACTACTTTGAAAAACATCTTTTTGTTTTACTAGTAATTCAGTAATTAATTTTTTAAACTGTTAGTCAAAAGGCATTTTTGAATTAAAAAAATAGTCTTTGCTGTCCCCCATCATTGATGTGCCTGAATGTGTAACTTCCTTTAGCTATTTAATCATGTTTAAATTGAAGACATAATTTTAAAATGTTATCCTCTTAGATTAACTTTGTTAGAAGTATCAGAATTCCATTGCACTAATGATACATAATTACATATTTCTGATTAATAGTTCACTTTACCCTTTTAAAAACAGACACAGGGCAAGAAGGGACTGTTTAGTGGGTTATACCTGAGCTGCATTTAGGAGTAATGTTTCTGAGCTGTTATGGTTCTTTTGACTTGTGCCCTCCTTAGAACTAAACAAGTGAAAGCTTGATAGGGTTCAGGTGAAGATGAACAGGGGTTTAATTTCTTCACTGATTTTGTTTATTTCCCATTCTGTTACTTCTACTAGGAGCTATGTCAAAAGACAGAATTTTGTTTGGTGAGGGGAAAAATAAAATATAGGACAATGAAATAAATGCCCTTTCTAAATGTAACTTTCATGTAATTCATATTGTTTCTTATTAATGCTAGTGATCTTTTGGTGATTTTTGAAGAATGAATTATGAAATTCCTGACATGAATATTTTAATGAATTCTTTGTATAGTTATTTTTTGTTGCAATTTCATATTTTCAGGAAGTTGTATGCCAAGTCTCAAGCAGTTTATTAAAATTCATCCAAGAATAAATTCTACCATAAGTAAATTTCTATGGAAATATTGCTGTTGTGTTATTTTGGTATCATAAGTCTCAGTAATTGTGACAGAACAACCTTGGAATTTAGAGAATTGAAGCAAACTAGATTTCTTGATAATAAAAATCAGTATCAGACTACTGTTAGCATTTCTTAAAGTTTAGTTTTTATATTTGAATTAAATGAGCATATAGATGAAAGAATATGATAAACTAGTTAAGACGAAATATTTAATGGAGTATACCTCAAGAATAAAGATTTATCAGTCCTTAAAAGTTTTGTAAAGTTCTGTTTAGATTTTTAATTCTTTCCATGCTTAATAAATACCTGACTTTGATAAATAAGTTATATCACTAGTATATAACATTTAAGATACTTCACCCCCATTTTCCTGTGTGTCATCTTTATTTAATATTGTAGGTTTTCTTTGAAATAATCTGATTTTAAAGTAATCATTTTAAACTGTCTTTTTATTTTTTTTAATAGAAAAAGTTACGCCGATCACAACATGCTCGCAAGGAAACAGAGTTTTTACGACTCAAGAGGACCAGACTTGGCTTGGATGACTTCGAGTCTCTGAAAGTTATAGGAAGAGGAGCATTTGGAGAGGTGTGATTCTTTTTAAAAGAAGTCATTGCTATTGAAAATATATATCTAAAGATAGTTTAAAATATGTATAAAAATGTTTAATATGTATTAAGAGGTGGTTTAATGTATTAAAATAGTTTAATAGGATTCCTAAATTGTGTCAATGGCAAATTGCAACATTGCTTTCTTTAAAGGAACTTACCTTTTGCTCCTAAATTAATAGTAGTGACTAACATTTATAATATGATCAATGTTTACATTTTAGGTGAGGCTGGTCCAGAAGAAAGACACAGGCCATATCTATGCAATGAAGATATTGAGAAAAGCTGATATGCTTGAAAAAGAGCAGGTATGTTCTTTAACACATGTAACCAAAGGAACATCCACTGACTAGGTATTAGAGTAAGGGTTGATATTGAAATTTTTTGAAAAAAATCCAGGCATCTTACTATATAATCTATTAATCTTTTGATAGCCTGTTTCATTATGTCTTGATATAGCTAAAATTTCTTCTAAATTTATAATGTAAATATGTATTAGTCCGTTCAGGCTGCCATGACAAAATACCACAGATAGGGTGCATAAAACAACAGAAATTTATTTTCTCACAGTTATGGAGAGTGGAAATCTAACATCGAGATTCTGAGTTCGTTTTTTGGTGAGGGCTTTTTTCTTGGTTTGCAGGTAGTTGCTGTATCATTAAATCACCACATAGCCTTTCCTGGGTTTGTGCACACAGAGAGAGAGTGTGAGGTCACTGGTGTCTCTTTATAAGGACAGGAACACCCCCCCCCCCACCAACCTCACTTAACCTTAATTACCTCCTTAGAGGCCCCATCTCTAAATCTAGTTATGCTGGGGGTTAGGGCATCAGCATCTGAATTTGGAGAAAACACAAACATTCATTCTGTAACAAAATACCTTCTTCAGTGAAAATAAAGGACAGTTCTCACTACCCTCAGTCCCTATCACATATCAAAAAAGCAAATTCTCAGGAGAATTTGCTGATTTTACTTATTTCCTAAATCTATAACCACTCCAATTTCATAATCTGGGCTCTATCTCTGTTTCTTGTGACTTTAGTTTACAGAGTGGCCACAAATCTGAAATCATCCACCTGTGGTTCCAGTCTGAACATATACACTATAGAAATCTAAATTCAGTGCTAGTGAAGGACTCAACAGTGGGGGTACAGAGGAAGATGGACCTTTCTGAACCAAATGCTTTACTTCAAGTCTTTTAGTCCCCACCTGAAACTTATTTTGTTATTACAACAATGTAATATAAATTTATTTAAATGTGGCCCACTTGAATTTTTATTTCATTCTTTTACTTTATTTCTATTTCATTCATTCAACAAGCATGTATATGCTAGGTTCTGGAATATAATGGTTAACAGGACAAACCCGATCCTTGTTCTTTTATTGTAGTGGGGAAAATGGGCAGACAGCTATTTCAAATAGTCATGATTGATTAGTCCTATGAAGAAAGTTTTTACAAAAGGATAAAATGCTGCAGATGCTCGGGATATAGAAGGAAGAATTTGATCAGGAAAGATTTCTCTGAGGAGGGAGTATTTGCTGAGAGAATAATGAAAATGACATATAAAGATCTGGCAGAATGAATATCCAGGTAATAAATGCAGAGGCCTGCTCAAAGAAGGGGAAGAAGCCATTATGGCTGGAATTAAGTGAGGGGAAGAGTGGTTACAGATGAAGTGGGAGAGGTAGGCAGGGACTAGATCTTGTAGGGCTTTGAAGGCCAACATGCACAGTTTGGGTTTTATGCTAAACAAAATTGGAAGACACTTTTGTTTAAATAGAGGAGTGGCATGTCTGATTGATGTTCTACATAGATGAGTCAGTTCCTTTGCTTGCTTACAGGAGAAACAAGAGTTGAAGTAGGGAGATCAGTTGAGAGACTGTGTAGCAGTTCCAGCTAGTTTGTAATCGTGGCTTATACTGGGGTTACAAGAGTAAAGCTGAAGAAAAGTTAGATAGATTAAGTGTATGTTTAATGGAAGAGCCAGCAAGATTTTTTGTGATATACTCTATGTTCTGGGGTGAGAGGAGGGGCAAGGGTAGTGAGGAAAAGGGAAGAACTGAGGGTAATACCTACAGTTTTACGTAGAAGTGGAGTGTATGATGGTAACATTTTCTGATTTAGAAAAGACTGAGGGAGGAATAGGTTTGGATACAATGGGAATCAAAAGTTCTCTTTGTGGCATATTAAATTTGAGCTTTCTCTTAGATATCCAAGTAGACCTATTAAGTTGACAGTTGGCTAGAATATGGGGGAAAGATTGACTGGAAATGTAATTTGGAAGCCACCAAAATATCAGTAGTATTTAAAGTAATAGAACAAGATAAAATTGCTAGGGAACAAATACAGAGAAGAAAAGGGAGCCTGGATCCAAGCCCTAGGGAACGCTAGTCAGAGAAGACCCAGAGAGAACATCTAATCAGATGGGGTAGGGGGTCCTAGGAGAACGTTTTGGAAGCCAAAAGAAGAAAGCGTTTGAAGGAAGAGGTTAGTGGTGACTATGTTGAATGTTACTAAGAGAGCAAGAGAAACAGGCCACTAGATGTCACAATGTGGAGATTTTGAATACTTTGGCAAAGATAGTTCCAATGTACTGGAGGGCAGAAGCCTAACTGAACTGATGGAAAAGAAAATGGGATTGGAGAAGTAGGGATAGTGAGTATAGGTAAATCTTTCACATGAAGCAGAACCAAAATATCAATAGTATTTAAAGTAGATTGGTAAAGTGAGATTTAAGGTCAAAAGGAGGTTTTGGGTTTTTTTTCCCCTTGGTAGGATGATGATTGGAATAATCCATTAGGAAGAGAAAAATTGACAATGCAGGAGAAAGAGGGCAAATAATTAGAGCAGTACAGTACACTGGAAGACAGAGGAGTTGATCTCTGATAGGAGTAGACACCTGTTCATTGAAACAGGAAGGAAAAGGAGAGAAAATTGGAACAAACACTGGGTGATTGATCTGATGATATAAAGTGCTAAGTTCCTGCCTGAGTGCATCAGCGTGGGGTGAAAGAGGGAAAGATAGCTTATTGGAGGCATAAGGAGAGAGTCGTGAAATAGTTATAACTTGAAGTGTCGGGAAGCAGACTTGCTAGGGAAATACAGTTGAATGCCCACTGAGATTTGCAATCATGAATGTAAAGTGAAACCAATGGGTATAATTAGGTGATTTTTCTCTAGTAATACTTCGTTGCTCTGGGGCACAATAGACATAATAGACAGAAATTGGGAGTTAACTCGGGTTGGTGTTTTGCCAGCCAAATACAATGGAGGGAGAGAAGGACACAGAAATTCAAGGTGTTTGCAAAATTTTGAGTGATCATAATGATGGAATCTAGGCTGGGTAGAGAAATAAATGAGGTTATGAGGAGAGTAAGAGAGAAAAAAATGGTAGAGTCCATGGGATGCAGATGGAAGTATAAAAATAAGAGGCCTGAAAAGTTAAAGGTGGAGATCAGAAACAGAGTTCCTTAAAATTGAGACTTTTAGAGGGGGTATAATGATGATGAGGAGGACAAGAAGGTGATGAGTTGTAGTGGAGGAAAAGGTCATTGGAGGTGAGAAGAAGTCAAGGAACTACATAGATAGGCTATTTGATGGTTCATTCTTATGGATATTGAAATCCATCCATGAGTGGAAAGGATGTAAAGGAAATCGGAGAGCTGTGAGCTGAAGTGAAGGCATGAATGAATGAGGGGGATTGACCAGGAGTTCTGTAAATAATAGCAATGAGGAAGGATGACGGCTGAAGTAGTCTCAGCATGTGCTTCAGAGGAGCTGGAGGGAAGGAGAATGTCACAAGCAGCACCAATGAGAATGAGCAGAAAACCTACCCCCTCACCAAGTAACATGCGAGAGAAAAATGGCCCACTCCTGAGAACTCATTCTGCAGGGAGACAGAACTCTCAGTGCACAGCTTGGTTTCAGCTAGGCTGAGAAGGTGATAGGAACTATCCAGAGATCAGGTGATAGGGGACTTTGTTGAAGACAGACTGATTGCAGGACAGGTTTGGGAGGCTAGGAAGGTTGACATACTGAGTTGTTCTAGAGAATTATAGGTAATGATGGGATAAGGATCTGAGTCAAGATATAGAGCTTTAGAGACAAGGAGGTATAAACAGAAATATGCCATAATAGAATTAGTCCTGGATAGGCTTTTAGAGGAAGGACAATAGGCAGCAGTTATTTCCAGGTATAGTCTTTATTTACTAGCTACTTTATTTAGTAGCCACATGTGGCTACTGGACACTTAAATGTTAGCTAGTCTGAGTTGAGATATGCTATAAAAGGAAAATACACACTAATTTTTGAAGACTTGGTACCCCGCCCCAATAAAAGAGTGTAAAATAGCACAGTAATTTTTATATTGATTATGTATTGAAATGATAACATTTTAGCTATATGAGGCTACATAAACTATATCATTAAAAATAATTTCACCTATTGGAAAAAATTAATAATTTCACCTTTTTTTTTTTTTTTTTTTTTATTTTTTTTGTGGCTATCAGAAAATTTAAAATTACATATGTGGTTTGCATTATGTTTCTTTTGGACTGCCCTGGTCTAGAATGTTTTGCGAGAGGTTGAAGAGCTTCTGACCACTCTTTGTTCCTATGCAAGGGTCATCTCATTGGAGCCAAACATTGAGTCTGTTTCGCATTTTGAGGTTTTTTTCCCCTCTACATAAATTAATCTGCGTTTGTCATCATCGAATTTAATTTTAGAAAACCTTTTCCCATTTAATTCTAATATGACATTATTTTAAGTTTTTATCACATTTTCTTTAATGCTGACCACCCCACAAAATTAAGTAGCACCTTCTCACCCCACTATTGTGATAAACTCCCCAGGTTACTATGCGTAATACTTCCTAACCTTTGGCAACATAGTTCCATTTTGAAAACATATCCTGTAATCTGGCTTTAAGATATTTAAAAATAGTCAACACCAAAATTTTAAGATTTTTCCTTTACCATCTTAAAATGCTTTGTAAAAGGCAATAGGTAAGAATTTTGATACCAGTTTTTACTTTATGAAACAGAGTCAAAGAGATAAAGTTTTTTAATGCCAGAAAACAAGTTTTTAGTTTTCAACTTTTATTCTTACTTTTTGATTTCAGAGCATTTACCATACCAGATAATAAAACGGTAATCTCAAATAGTGATATTTTAAGCAGATCATATTTTGTTATCATGAAAAGGTTTATAAAATCGGGTTCTTGTGTATTTTGGATCAGACGTCATAATGGTGCACAATGAAGATAGTAACAGCATTAAATGAAATCTTATTGTTAATTACTCTTTGAAGAAAGAATGTATAAATATGTTAATACAAAAGCATCTGAAAATTGATTATACCAACCCCACAAATTACTCAGTTTATAAAATTTTTCAACCTATAAAATGTTCACATAACATATCCCTAGTAATTGTGTGTCTGACAAGTCAGCAAAATGCTACACTAATGTGCTGTAGATCATATTTATAGATATTATAGAGGTTTTATGTTATAACAAAATAATATAAAGTTATTACAAACGTTTCTACTTTAGCCAAATGGTTAAAGACCAAGTCAGGCCCGTGTTTGACTAGTAACAGTTAAAAATAGTTTGCTAAGGACCCTGACTTTGTCATACCAATCTGTAGAGCATTACTTACTACTTTTAACTTCTAAAAGTCAGACTAGGGCCTTAAATTTATATAAAACCAGGATCCCTGGCTAGGTGGAGAATCTAGTTAGAAAGTTTTTACAAAAAAGAAAAAAAAAGAAAGTTTTTACACTAGTCATTTTTCTGCCTCAAAGGCTTCAACTTTTCCCCTATTATACCTGTAGATCCCACCATTTCAAATCAAATCAGAAGTCCTTTATATTTAATGAGAATACAAACATGCATCTATGTTTCAAATCTTTTCTAAAACCAGTTTTCCTTTGTGACTTTTAAGGAACTGGATAGATAATTGTTAGGAGATAAGCTCGAAAAATGTGTAATGTGTTACAATTATTTTTTTCAAAATACATCTAGGTGGCTCATATCCGAGCAGAAAGAGATATTTTGGTAGAAGCAGATGGTGCCTGGGTGGTGAAGATGTTTTACAGTTTCCAAGATAAGAGGAATCTTTATCTAATCATGGAATTTCTCCCTGGAGGTAAAAACAAACATAACAGCAGTGACAGACTGACACAAGCAAATCATTATATGTAATTATAATTTTATTAAGTTTACATTTATTTTATATCTCTAGCCCTGAGATTTTACATTGTTAGTCATGCTTTTCCAGTAGTTCCTCCCATAATAATGTTAATTTTAACCACGAATCAGATTATTTTGATGGAATGATAAAGTTTGCACATTTTAAATACTACCATTCTGAGTTTACTGTATATAAATCTAGAGTTAAAAACAATAAGTCACTAAAGAAAAAGACAGCCCAATGGGAAATGATAGACAATGTACTGAAGAGAAACTCTGGCTAGTCTATAAATATGTAGGAAAATGTTCAGCCTCACCCATGTTCAGGGAAATGCAAATTAAAACAAGAATGAGATACTATTTCATATTCATCTGATTAGTAAACACATTAAAAGTCCAATGAGGCTATGTGGCTTCTCAGATATATAAATTAATCTCTAACTCTTATGGAGAACAGTACAGATTATTAGTAAAGTGGAAAATGCATGTATCCTACAATCTGGCAATTCTACAACCAGTTGTATTCCCTAGAGATTCAACCCCCAAATGGGCATAAGAGAACTGTAAAAGGATGCTCATTGCAGCATTGTCCCAACAGAGAAAAACTGGGTGCAAGGTAAATGTACACCCGTAGAAAAATGGATAAATAAAATGTGGCATAATTATAGGATGAAATATCTTACAGTATTTAAAAGTCAAGAGCTGTATCCATTTCGACAGTAAGATCTCAGGAACAGAGTAGAGTAATAAAGCAAGCTTTGGGATAGTGTGTAAGTGAAACCATTTATGAATTTTTAAAAAACCCACAAAAGACTAAATTCATAGATTAATTTATATGAGAACATTTTTAAAATAAGCTGGAAAAGGATACACACCAAACCAAATCCATGATAATGGTTACTTAGCAAAAAGGGAAAGGGGAATAGAATGGAAATGGAGAACAAAGAATACTTCTACATGTAATTTTTTAAAAAAAGATTTGAAACATCATGAAAAAATTTTAACAGTTGTTAATTCTGAGTTGTAAGTTCACCAGTGTTTGTTCTTTGCCACCTTTTAAAGAAAAAAGTTCCTTGACAATAAAAAAAAAAATCTAGAGGTGAGTCTTTTAGTGGGATGATGTCCTATTTTTGCTGGCCCAAAGAGCTCTGAGTGTTTTTGAAACTTGAATTTGAAAGAATATCTTATTCTCAGGTATGCTTACTGATTAATTTTTCCAGTTTGACATGTTTTCCTTAGCAACTTATTCTGGATGTTGAGGTATTACTTCTTTATCATCTCTGATTTGATTTCACATACTTTTAACCTTAACCCATTAAATGTCATGAAACTTTTGCTTATGCAATGACATTTTTTTCATTTGGCCCCAGATATGGTTGGATATATACTGAGTAAGTCATGAACTGCAAAAATCAGGCATATGTTGTATAGATACAAAGAAAGCTTTTACAGGATATTCCCTTTTGAGGCATTTCCAATACATACTTAACTTTCCTTTATTTTTCCTTTATAGGTGACATGATGACGTTGCTAATGAAGAAGGATACCTTGACAGAAGAGGAAACACAGTTCTACATTTCAGAGACTGTTCTGGCAATAGATGCGATCCACCAGTTGGGTTTTATCCATCGGGACATTAAACCAGACAACCTTTTGTTGGATGCCAAGGCATGTCAATAAACTGCTGAATTATTAGATTGGAGTAGTAGAGCTGATTTTGTGATTGGAAATGGACAACTGCAATGTATATTATTGCTAAACTACATTATTTCATAGAATGATGCAATAGGAGAGGACTCTGGAATGAAATGACATTAAGGGAATATGGCCGGCTATCTTTTTATCTTCCATTTTCTACTTTTCAAAATTATCATCTTCAAATATTTATAATTTTACGTTTTACTTTTATGACTTCTAAGCTAAGAATTTTTATTATAATTGCATTTAAAAGAATAGTTTATAATAAAGCTTTGTTTCAAAGTTAATATAATTATCGATTTTACTAGTTTTTCAATGTTTTTATTTAGGGTCATGTGAAATTATCTGATTTTGGTTTATGCACGGGATTAAAGAAAGCTCACAGGACCGAATTCTACAGAAACCTTACACACAATCCACCAAGTGACTTCTGTAAGTTTGGGTTTTTTTTTTTCCCAGGTTAAAGTTGTATAGCGGGACTAATTTAACATTATTGAGACCTGAAGGTTCTCTCTCTGTCCTCACTCCTTAAATCAATGTATTTTAAATGTATATGTGTGAATTTGTTTTGGAGTGAGAGTTTTTCCCTCATCATTACAAATCTGTCTTGTTGAAATTAGCATTTCAGAACATGAACTCAAAGAGGAAAGCAGAAACATGGAAGAAAAACAGGAGACAACTGGTGAGTTAGCTAGTGTTTTTAAGAAAGAATTTTGTGTTCCAGTCCTAAAATCTTTTTAGTTTTTGCTTATTTTGTATCTTTCACAATGATTAGTACTGACTTTGTAACAGTGATAGAGCTTATTCTGGGATAACAGTTTTCCTAGTTTCTCTGTAATATTTCCTTGCCTATAAAGTAAAATGCTGATTTTTACTTTATAATTTAACTTTAGAGTATTTTATCAAGCATATCTATAACTAAATAATCTGGCTGTTCACTAGTAATTCACACTTTATATAAAACTCACTGAGATAAGTGTGATTGTAGTGAATGCCTTGTGATTTCTATTTTCTGTACCCGTCTTGATAAAACAAATATTAATCAGCACATGTAAGGTGGTTGTGTTTCTAAGAACTTCTTTATAAACAAAGTTAACAGGAATCTTGGTGTGTTAACAGTCTTACAATAAATAGAATTAGAAAGGAGACTTTATCCACAGATAAACTTAAATTACTCCTTTAGTGTGGAATAACACTATTTTTAAGCCCACACTATTTCTCCTCTATTACTTAGCAAATCTAATTGCTTCTTTCGAAGTCTTTTCCCTTATGCTGTTAACTAGGTCTTTGAACATTCTCAAGGTTACAAATGTGTCTTTTGACTTTGTTTTTCTTGTATAGTGTTTAGCACAAAGATACACTATAAATATTTGTTAAATTCAACCAAGTGATATAAATGATAATAATTCAGCATGCCCTCAGGAAGATAGACGGAAAGATAATAGTCTGATACCTTCTCAAACCAAATAAAATGACCATTGCATTATTGAGCTCATTCTCTCATTAATTAGCCCAAGTAATTGCAGGCTCCCTGGGCTTGTAAAACATTTTGGTGTTTTTAAAAGTTTGAAAAATGTTTAAAAAATGTGTTTACTATGCATTAATGACAGAAACTCCTTTCTACTTTTAAATGTGTCACTTTAGATCAGATTTTACAATTGAGAAAAGAATTGCAGTATTTCCTACTTTTAAAGGGAAATTTGAATATTGCTTAAATACGGTGGGAATTCTGTATACGCCTATTACAGAATATTTACAGAAATTTACTCATGCACATTTTACTATTCTTGTGGTCATCATCATGACTCATATAGCATTTCCCAAGGGAAAGGTAGAGGGGACTCTGTTGGTATTTGGGGCAGGAAATTCCTTTAGAACCTGTATCTTTTGCCCACTAAATGCTAATCATGTCCTCCCCTAGGTCATTGAAATGATAAAATCTGTTGTCACATATTTTCAAATGGCCCATAGAGTACTACCCCTAATTGAGGACCATTTCATTAAAAAAAATAGTTTTCGTAAGATTTCATATTATTTAGGAGTGAAAAACTGCATACCTTCCTAATGGATGAGCAGTGGCCTGGAATCAGGTTCATAATGAAAATACTTAATGTTTATAATAGTAGGTTGTAGTTTACAAAGCACATTTCTTTTATCTTGATATCAACTGTTCAGGCAGATACTGTTATTCCAATTTTATGTAAGTGGAAGCTGAGGTTCAGAGAGGTTGAATAACCTGCTAAGAACACAATAGTGAGTGGGGAAGCCAGACCTACTGGGCTCAACCTTTTTATTCTTTTTGAAATAGATTTAGGGCTAAATATATAACTAACTTAGTTGAGCTTCTTGGGGGTGGTGGTGGTAGAAATCATGTCTTAACATTATTCAATTCAGTACCTATCATTTAAGCCTTATGCATGATAAACATGAGAAACAAGTATTAAATGAAGAATTACCTCCTGTATATATCGCTTTTTACAGTAGTGAGCCATATTCAGATCTTTCAGAAAATATATTAAGAATGCTGGTTTGACAAGCTGTTCCTTTGCAGGCATATTCCACAGTTGGGACACCAGATTACATAGCACCAGAAGTATTCATGCAGACTGGTTACAACAAATTGTGTGACTGGTGGTCTCTGGGAGTGATTATGTATGAAATGCTAATAGGTATGTTTTATCATCCATTTATGTATACACTATATAAATTTCCTTGAATGCCACTGACTGAAGATATTGCAGATACCGTAGGCTAAAATATCAGAACTCTTTTAAACTGATTTCTTGACATCTCCCCATGTGAAATAGACAGTGAATACCAGTGAACTCCCTAGGAATCCTGTTTCAGGAAGGGGGTATTAATCAGAACTCTCATGTATCAAAATTGTATCTTCATGGCTTTTCAAGTACAAGGGAAACAATGCTTTAAATTCTTTATTTGATTGACTATATTAGCAATTTTATTATAAATTGATGACTGGTGGTATTTTTTATTGTTAAATAGAGCACTTAAGGCTACTTTGTTTCTTGCAACACTTTTTATATTTATGTATAAGTAGGTATTGCATATTTGATCGTAAAAGCTGATAAAACTTTTGTTTTTTCTTATATATAGGATACCCACCTTTCTGCTCTGAAACACCTCAAGAAACATATAGAAAAGTGATGAACTGGAAAGAAACTCTGGTATTTCCTCCAGAGGTGCCTATATCTGAGAAAGCCAAGGATTTAATTCTTAGGTTAGTGGTTAAATCCCCAGAGAAGATTTTGATATCTTAAAAATTCACAAGTACATAAAAGACTAAATTGCCCATTTTACTTTTGTGGGAGAAAAATGACTACCACTGGTATATGCATTCAAGGAGATCAATAAAGAAAAAGTGTTTAAAAAATTCAAACTCTAAAAAGGAAGTATGCAGACAAACTAAGAGTTAAGAGGTCTTATATAGTTTCAAGGGTCACTCCTATTAGAATACAGTGATCCTATCTCATTAAAGAGGAAAGGGAAAATAAATTGTTAGTAGCAGTTCATATCATAGGTCTTTTTAGGAAATCTTACCTAACCAAAGAATTTCATTCTGTTTCTCATTTAAGATGAAGTGTTTTGGTACTATCATGAATGGCTGGAAGGAAGATAAATTGGGACAACTTAGGGAAGAGCCATTGGCAGCATATTATCAAAAATCTTTAAGCTATCTATGATCTTTGACCCAGCAATTCTACTAGGAATTTTGCTTATGCAAATAATCAGATGTGTGTAAAGATTTGGGTATAATATGTTTATTGTGATAACATTTTTAGTAACGAAAATTGAAAACCATCTAAACGTTCAACAATAGTGGACTGGCTAAATAAATCATAGTATTTCCAAATGCAAATTTTAAAAAAGTTATAGAAATATTTTTAATGACTTGGGAAATTTTTCTCAAAGTTTTAAGTGAAAAAAAAAGCCCTAAAATAGTAACTACTATATCAACACACTATTTTAGAAATTATTATAAAAGACTGAAAGGAAATGGTTTCAAACTGTTTACAGTGGTTATCTCTGAATAGTGCAATTATAGATGAATTATATCTTCTCCCATATTTTCCACAATAAACAGTTAACTTCAGTAAAGAAAAAAGAAATGTTTGAAATAATGCAAATAGAATATTTTAGGTATAATTTGCATATGATAATTTCTCTATGTCCCTTTTCTAGATTTTGTATTGATTCTGAAAATAGAATTGGAAATAGTGGAGTAGAAGAAATAAAAGGTCATCCTTTTTTTGAAGGTGTAGACTGGGGGCACATCAGGTATGTTCATAGGCTTTGAATGGGGGAGGTCTGAGTAAAAAATAAAAATGAATTTTTAAACTAGATTTAGCGATTAATTTGTCTCTGATTCTGCTAGATTAAATATAAGAAGTAACATTGTTTATGTTATGAAATCAGTGTTTTCTGGATCATATAAGTGAGTGAGACAATAGTGGCTGTAGCTAAATGACTTGTTTTTAGCTAATGTACACTTTAAGGGAAAAATCACATATTGTGAACCTGTTAAGATTTTTATATCCAGAATTACATGATGAAGGCTGTTAGCACAACCAAAATGTATTTACATTTTACATTATAACATTTAAATTTTGTCCTCTTTTGAATATACCATACTGTGTCTTCTTTATTTATAAGAAGATTTAGTCCCTTTTTTAAACATTGGAGAATAGTTAAATAATGCAAGTAACTTATAAGAATTTGCTTATAGTTGGTAATTGTGAGCATTGGCCTTTATTCGGCTTATGGCCAAACTACATTCAATACTTCTGGTCTGCTCCCATATAGCAGCAGTTCAGAAACAAAATCTGATCATGCCATTTCTTTCTTTTGCACTTAGAATAAAATTAAGGGTCCTTAACTATGTTTCAGGACTGTGGGCTATGGCTCTTATCTCATCAGTCAGTACAAGTTACATCTTATATGATCTTCTTTACTCCTCCCACCTCATGGCTTTGTCGTTTGCTATTCATTCTGACTGAAATGCTCTTCTCCTTCCTGCCCTCGTTCCTGGCCCTACCCCTGCCAAGCCAGTTTCTTTTCGTCTTTTAAGACAGTTTATGTGTTATTTCCTCCATGTAGATCTTCAGTGGAGCTTCTACTATGAGTTAGGTACTCTACCTATTATAATAATATAGCTAATTTTTTGATAATTTATTATATGTCCAGCACTGTTCTAAGTACTTTATGTAAATTTCTTATCCTCATAGTAAACCTTATAAAATAGGTACTATTATTTTCTTTGTTTTACAGATGAGGAAACTCAGGTATAAAGAAGTGATTTGTTTACAATGCCACAGCTAGTAAATGATCTAGCTAGAATTACCAACTAGAATTGGCCTCAGTTTAATTCCAGAGTTCTGACTTTTAACTGCTATGTCATACTATACTATACATATATCATGTCATTGAACAGAACTGATTTTATCCCTTTGTACAATTAGAAGGGTGCTTAGAGACTGCCAGTCCAGTTTCTTGGTTTCATAATGAGGAAACAGTGGCAGAGCAGAGACTTGCCTGCCTAAGGTCGTGCTGCTAGTTAATGAAAAGAGATTAGATTGGAGGGCACCAGGGTCTATGGTTCTTTCCACTTAACTGATATAAATTTATTAAGTATAAATAAGTTGGAATAATTCTGGGAAAAATACATACATGCTTTTACATAATTTTGTAAACTTATCACTTAATCGATCCAATAAATATTTGTTGAAAATACAGAAGCAATGAAAATTGTAGTTTGTTTTAATTATTTCTATACTTAAACATTTTTAGCATAAGAAGGCATTTTCATGACTAATATTTTTAACATAATGTCCCTGATTCCCTTAAAATTTAAATGACTGAGAAGTTTTTATTTTTATTTTTATTTTTTCATTTTTTATTTTTTTTTGACTGAAGTTTTTAGATTCAGATTTCATCACAAGTATGTAGTTCCTTCACCATTTGAGCCCCTTATTTTCCTGAGCCCCCTTTATTTTCCCAAATAACTTTCAATCTATGGATCCTCTCCTAGAAGAATTTTATTTCTTAATTAGGTAGGTTATAGTCCCTACAATACCCAGCTTACTTTATATGATTATAAAATCTTTTAAATAAAATCTCTTCTGTTCTACTTGCTCTTTTATTAACATAGGTTTTCCATTAAAAAAAAAAACAGGAGTAAATAGTGATACAAAGAAATAAAAATTCCAAGTAAATGATAATATTTTAATAAAAAATTATTATACTCACCTACGAAGTCCACTTAACTATTTTAAAATCCATAGTAATTTTCTTTTGTTCTTATAGTATCTATAGAACAGCATGAAGAATTTTCAAGTAGAATTAGTTTTGGAAAATTAAGAGTTCAAGAAAATTTACCATGGTTATTCAATACCTTTTCATAGGGAAAGGCCAGCAGCAATCCCTATAGAAATCAAGAGCATCGATGATACTTCAAATTTTGATGACTTTCCTGAGTCTGATATTTTACAACCAGGTAAGATAATCTACAATACAGCTAACACTATTAAAAGTCTGTGAAGATGATGTTTTCACTAATGAAATTCCTTTGCTCTTGGTTAATGTTTCCATCTTTCTAGTGCCAAACACCACAGAACCAGACTACAAATCCAAAGACTGGGTTTTTCTCAATTATACCTATAAAAGGTTTGAAGGGTTGACTCAGCGTGGCTCTATCCCTACGTACATGAAAGCTGGGAAATTATGAATGAAGATCACATTCGCCCACAACCAAGAGAACTCAGGTAGCTGCATCACCAGGCTTGCTTGGCGTAGGTAACAATACACTGAAATACTCCTGAAGATGGTGGTGCTTATGACTACAAGAGGAAATTCTACAGGATTAGGATTTCTAAGACTACTATAGGAATTGGTTGGCAGTGCCAGCTGGCTTTTTTTTTTTTTTTAATATTTTATTATTTTTGTTAACTTTATTATACGAAGGTACTGGAATAAAAGAAACATACATCCCTTTCTAACTGCACTGCCTACATGCATATTAAGGTCCATTCTGCCTGTGTGTGCTTGTACTGTAACACCTCTAATCAATTCAGGAGAAACACATATCATTCAAAGCAACATAGGCTAACCTGTAGGTAACACTGCAGTACTGCTGTTTTACTGCAAATCTCATGGGTCTAGATAATCAGTAAAAGCCATCTTCTGTAGCTGGTGTTAGGAATACTTGCCCTGTTGATTTGGACATCTGTAGAATATATATGAAGACAATATCTATAATGATTTTAAGAAATTGAAAAAAAGGAAATACACTGGTTATTTAAAAAATAAAATTGATTATCACGTTATAACACAAACTCCTCAGTAGGGAGTAATAAGTTTATAATAAGGAGGAAGTTTAACACCTACACTCAAGCACTCCACTAATATATTTACTTTGCATTCGGAAATACTGATGACCTTTATATACATAGTCTGTATACTCATAGGGGAGAGATGTACTGTATTATATAAAATGTAAAGTTGCTTTTCTTGTGACAGGAGGACTTTTTTAATAAGAGGACATGGCAATATTTTAATTTGATTATGGTGAGTTGAATATAAGAAATGACCATGAAAGCTGCTTGTAGAACTAGTGTATTTTTATTAAACTATTTTTTTAAATGTCAAACTTCTCATCATGTAAATGAACTTGTAGAGTACAAAGAGCTATTTACTTTGGTTTTCTAGAAAGTCGTTACATATCACGGCTGGTTAACTTTTTTTTTATGAAAAATTTTTCTTTGATAGTACTTGTATTATTGTGCCATTATTTTCTTATACTCCAAATGTACCAAAGATCCTGAACAGAGTGGATGTTCCCAAGTGAGTAGAATTTTACTTTCCTGTGGGAATGCTGTATTCAGAAATGACAGATCTTTGATAGAGGTCGTCTTATGGAAGGCGGTGGAGGGGGGGCAGAATTGTTCATGTTTAGCTACATCACCGTGGTTACTGTAAATGGACTTAAGGAGGTAAATGCAGGCCAGAGGGGTAGTGATTACCGGGTAGGGGAGATAATGTCATCAAATTCTTTGAGTATTTCCCTAAGAATTAAATAATCTTTTCTAGCTCACCATTTTAATTCTAAAATGATTCTCTGCAGTCTTGCATTCTTAAGTACTAGTTGAGGAATAATACTTTATCAAAGAAGGGCCTAATGTTTGTCTTAACTATTGATAGAATGTTTTGAAGATACAACAATTATAACTATTCCACATGACCTGTGATCAAAATCTAAAATAATTTTTTATTTGTAGGGATATTCTTAATGGGGAAGAATTGCACAGGATCATTATGCAAATCTACAAAAGCTTTTATAAATGTTGCTGCTCGGTAATTTCACAGTGTTTTCAATAAGGCCGTCCTGGGGTCTCCCCAACCCCAGCACACCCCCAGTTCTCTCTCTTTCTCTCCCTTTTCCCTCTCTTTCATTCTTTTATTCTAGCATTCGTTTAATACTTATTATGTGTTCATCTAATACTTCATCTCCTTTTTTCTTATGTCATTCATGTAGCTGAGTCCCTAAGAGAGAGAACTATTAAAATTCTAAGGTCATCTCAATTTTACTAACTCTGGATTTTCTAATTAAAAGGCTTCTAATATTAAAAAAGAAACTTTAACTTCTGCTCAGTTTTATGAGATTTTTCTCACCCCACCTCACCACCACCACCACCACCACCACCATCACCCCTTTTCTTAAAGGACTGTTTTGCTACTGTGGTAGTGAATGAGTAAAAGGAAACTGCAGTATTCTCTAGTTCTAATGTGGTACCTATTCTAGTACAGAAAAATCATTAATTCAAGTTGTCAGAGAAAGATAGATAAAGAAGCTGAATTGAATCAAAGTTTAATTTTTTAATTGAATAAGAGTAGAGCATTTTATTTTCCTTCTCCCTTTTTTAAAAGAGTCTCATTTCCCTGCAGTTAACAGAGTGATTCACAATCTTTGGGGTTTCCTCCTCATCAAAAGCATTTCTTAAGTGCCTATCTAAAAGCAAATAAAGACTGTGTTTGCCCTTTGGAAGCTAAGAATTTGATTCATGATGCAAATTAGCTAGATAATTTGCGAAGAACTCTTGAGATTGAATTTTCCCTATTATACATTTCTCATATTTTAGGCGAACCATTTAATTTAAATGACAAAACCCTATCTAATCAACTGGGCATAATGACATTTTCTTTAAATTAGACTCTATTTTGAATTAAAGAGTTTTATTATAAACTGTGTGTTTTTGGTTTTTCTAAGTATATAGAAAGCTTGTACAATTCAGATTTATTGATTTCCTGATTTAATGTAGACTTTGACTTTTTTTATTAAAAACCTTTGTATTAAAGCAAGTTATGTTATTTTTCTTTTATGCTTTTCTTTTCTATTAACATAGCTTTAAATCTTAAAATTTATTGAAGCACAGTGCTATCTGAATAGAAGGAATTTCTTATAAACTAACCTTTTCTGAATGGACTATATAGCTGATTTAATGTTATTAGTTGAATTAAAATAAGAAATGTGGAATATTCAAAACTTTCTTTGGTTGCTGAGGGTTAAGATAGGGTTTCATTTATTTCTATAAAAGCATATTTTTCCTGTTTTTTAAACACCTGTATATCTTTGTGAAAATCTGTAAAATTTAAAATATTTTTAAGTACATTTATTTTTTGGTGTTTTGCTGTAGAAAACCTATAGACAATCCAATCAATCAATCAGTCAATCAATCAATGTCTACTGGTAGGAGAAACAGCTATCCTTCTTTGGTGATCTACAAATGAATGAATTGAAATTTTAATCAATAGAGAGGTCCCTGGTTACTGAACATTTTCTCTCTTTGAATTGCTAAGATTCAGAACATTCAAAATAACTGATTTGCTACAACCATGGTTATTTCCTCGTCTTTAAATCTCATTTTCTCTTTAGAAGTGCACTTATTTCTGAAAAAATTTAACGAAACACCTAGAACAAATGTAAATACAAGACACTTGAGACTATTACAGATATTTTAGATTTTTATGAAAAAAATGTGAGGGGATATTGCTTCTTTAAAAGGGAATGGAGTAAAAAATAGATCTTAGTTATTTTTGAAAAAGCAATATAAATTATTCAGCAGTTGTCTAGAAAAATAATCATTAGGCTCTTGAGTTCTGTGTTCAGTTACTGAATTTCAAAAAAAAAAATGTTTTGGTGGCATGAGGCCTTTTTCACTGAAGGTAAGAAAAGAATAAAAACTGTTTATAAAATTTTCTGTTGGTGAGGTTTTTTGGCTTCTTTTTTGAATTTTGAGATAGGTGTTACATAAAACTCAAGAAGGACTATTTTGTAAATGTATCCAACTTTTGCACTTAATGATCACATCAAGAACAAAATAAATATTTAAAGTTTCAATTGTGTTCTGCTTAAACAATCAAGATAGTTGTACAGGTTTATATACAGCTACCGCACTAGGCCTTATGATACTCTTTCTGCTAGGTTTGGAAGGAGCCAGTCAGAATCCTGCTACTCCTCCTTGTGTTCTGATTGTTCCCTGACTTACATCATTTCAGTAATGCCATAGAGAAGACAAAACAGTGAAATGTCAAAATTTGGACTTGAGCAAACTTGGGAGACTCTAAATTCATCTTTCGAAAGCATCTTGTGATAAAAAGAACTTATATTTGTATACAAAATGCTTTCACTTATTCATTTTGGTTTTTTGCTACTACTCTGTGAAATAAACATAATTACCATCATTTTACAGATGATGAACATGAGGCTGAGTGTGACTGACCCAAACACAGGTAATAAATTGCTCTTGAACCCAAATTCAGTGCTCCTTCAGCTCCCCCAAATCACACAGCATGCTTTATTGACAAATTCCCTCATATGCTTCTAGACCTCAGAAAAATACATGGAGAGCTAGTGACACTTGTCTCTTTGGGTACTTTTTGACTGCAAGTTTCAGAAGACACAAGTAATTATAGTTTCAACATTAAGGAAAATGAATGTGTCTCATAATGCCAAGACACAGGGAGCTTCCAGAATCAATTTATCATCTCAAAAACCTCAAGGATGCAGGTTCTTTCCATTTTTTCTACTTTGTCATCCTCAGTTGGCTTTGTCCTTGGTCTTGTTTTCTTATAGGCTAGATGGCTACAGGGACTCCAAGCAATCCTCACACAATATGTATGTCCTTGAAAACTTCTTGTGTATCCCCTTTTTTAAGAGCAAGGAAAATCTTGTCCGGAAGAATTCTAAGCACAGTAACTCACAGATTTTATTGGCCATGATTATGTAATCCATTCACTACCTGTCCTGGTGACTGACTTGAAACTAATCGGGATTCACCTCTATGATGCAAGGGTGAGGCTCATCCAAAGTACACGGCCACCTGATAACAGATCTAAAAGGAGTTCTTTTAACAAGCTCCAAGATCATCAAAAAGGTGCTACACAGTTTTACAGCAATGGTTCTAACCTGAGGCCACTGCACCTGGACTTTATTGCTGGGTCTGCCTTTGCCTCTGTATATACTGAAGGCTGGTCCACTAATATCTTTCCCCAACCCACCTAAAACTGGCGTACTGAGTTCCACTGTGCTAGATAGACTATGGCTCAGCTACTGGGGGCCTGGGTTTCTGGTCTTTTGGAAAATCAGGAGCGGGTCTCTGGACATCATATAAACAGAATGGAAATATGGCTCAGTGACCAGGACTTGGTCTTCATAGTGCTTTTGCCATCCCTCCCAGCTCCCATTCACCTCTTCGTTGGTCCATCTCCCTTCCAAAGCTCTTACATTGGTAATAGAGACGCATGTCAACTCCACCCCCATTCCCCACCCCCACCCTCCCAACATACACACAGACCAAGATCCAGACAGGTGGTGTGGCCTAATTACTATTGACTCAACTACTTTGTCTAACTGGACACAATGGGCTTTAACTAATAGAAGTCAAACATTTCTCAGGTAAGTTTGTGCTAACTACCACAGTTATCTCTGAATTCCTTTACTGTTCACATTAAAGCATTCCTTATCAAACCCTTAAATGAAGGATGCCTTTTAAGTCTCTTCCAAAGGGAGAAACCCATAACAGGAGAGGGATACTGTCCATTGCCTTTCTTGTCATCTTGGGTAAGAAAATTATGAGCAAAACACCAAAGAACCTTCCTGTACTGTTATATACAGAGGACCTGGGATACCATATGTGCTTTAAGAGTGTCCAAAACCTGTGAGAGTAAAAATCAGCTCAGCTTTTGACACATACATACAAACACATAATCTTTAAGGGAAAAATAATAACTCCATATATAGAGATGTCTGTACAACTATTTTCCAATTCTTGTCCTAAGTTTTGTTTCTCCCTGTGTTTTTCTCAGAATTTTAAGTTTACTGCTACTCTGTCTTCTGGGTACTAAAAATACACGTATACACACAACTTAACGCCTGCAACAACCTAGGCTTAGGAAAATTCATTTTTGACTCATTGAAGCAATATTTCCTAAAGTAGAGTACTCAGAGAAATCTACTAGGGTGCTTACTTGACATATAAGGATTTAGTGTGTCTCCCTCCAGACCTACTAAATCAGAATCTCTGGGGGTGGGTCTAAAGGTCTGCACATTCTCATGCACATGACACTTTGGGAACCACTGAGCTAAGGGAAAAAGTACACTGGTTGGACTTTTACAAAATAAATACTTCCTCATGGATTGTGGGAATATCTATATGAAATAAAAGATGCACAGTAGGTGAAGTACAAAAGTCGGGTGCTTACAGCAATGCGTGGCACATTGAAAGTGCTCCATAAATATTTGTGAACAAATTAATTACTGTATTTTGTGGGTGGCCCTACATTCCATCTAAGGCCAATCTCAAAATGTTTTCACTTTTAATAAAAAAATCGATTCTAAAAGCATTGAAAAGGAATGTAGCTTTTGCTAAAGTTATTTTCCAGAAAAATAAGTGGGTTTGTATTACACAGTGAAACTCCCTAAATACTCTTTTAAAAGATCTTAAATTTCCACTCCCTAAGGCAGCTGCCACCACAAACCTTACTTCTCTCATGACTATACTCTCCTACAATTACCTTCTCTGCTTCCCTTCAGAGGCCAAGTTCAAGCAGATTCCTCTAAACACATTTGGCCTCGCTGTTTCTCCCAGCTGCACTCCCACTCATCAACCTACTCACTCAGCAAGTCCAAGAATTCGCCCCAGTATTCACTCTCCATAGAATGCTGGGGGTGGATGTCGGGGGAGCAGGGAAGAAAGGGTAGTTTAAGTATTAATAATTTAGTTACTTTCCTCAATCACTTAGGAGCTCATTAATAGGTAGTTGTTATTTTTAGTTTTATGCATCATTAGGAATACATTGTATCTTCCTTCAATTTACACTATGAAGTAGGTGTATTTTTTTTTGTCCTGGAGCAACTAAAATATCTAAGTAGTCTTAAAGGAACCCCCATATATATTGTTGCAATCCCAGCAGGAGGTTGACAAGTGTAGGAAGTTACAGTTTGTGAGGCAGAGGCAGTGGTTCCTAATTCTAGTACTGTTGTTGCATGAGTACCTGACAGTGAAGCAAAATGAATGAATGAACTAAGTTCACTCTAAGATTGGTGATGCTGCTTGAGGAGCAAAGCTGTCCTGGGCTCTTGGCAAGGAAACCACATTGACCAGAAGGAACTATACATGCATTCTCCTTATGTTTCAAATCACTGCTGTCACATTTTGCCCAAGGAAAAAATATGAGAAAAACTACTGGTTGGAAATGAGAGATCCATCTGTCCAGACATTGAGTGGCTCTTTATCTCTGTTTTATCCTATAGGTTTAATAGAAATACTTTTTAATTTTTTTTAATCATGTCTTAGTAAAGCTCCAGAGCATAAAGACAAAGTAGCAAGCAGGCTTTCAACTTCAACAATAAAGGGAACACTATGAGAGTGACTTGCTCCTTTGAATCCCTTGGTGTTCTGGATTCCTTCTCTCCGGCTTTCCAGCTTTTGGTGGAAGTGAATCAGCATTTCTATGAAATGAGCACTGCAGTGATTCAGGGGCAAGCTTATTGGGCACCACCGTATGAACTTCTAAAATGGAGATCTGACTTTTACTCTCTGGCTTCTACCATCTACTGAGTGATCCTGACCAATATACTCACCATCTCGGAACCCTCCGTGTTTGCTGCTGATAATGCAAGAATGATAGGTGTTCAACCACCTCACAAACAGTGCTTGTGAGGCTCGCATGAAATGATAATGGGAGAATGCTTTGTAAGCAACACACTGTATATAGTCTGTACTGTACATTTTAACTGGAGTCCTAGCAATTCTGTCTCAACATTAAAGGAGGATTTAGACATTTAACAGGTCTAAGAGTAGCCCCTCACCTCTCCCCACTTTGGAAAAACCATCTCAAAACAGTATACACTAGTCTGGAAAGCCAGGGTTTGAATAACTGCAGGGAATACTGTGCCAGATTTTAAGACTATCTGCCAGGCGCTCTGAAAAAAAATTTTTTTTTCCTGAGCTGCCAGCAGAAGTTGGAGTTGGTAGATTTTTGGGTAGTGTTGCAAGTCAAAGCTAGAATGGAGATGTTTCAAGAATGGTTTTGATTAGGATATGTTGGCGTGCTTTACTGAGGGCAGCACAGTTCTTATTAGCACCTCCTTCCCCACTTAAGACTGCATGAGTCCCGTCATGCCTATTTCTGCCTGGGAGCACGCTTCCAATCCCCTTGCCCAGGGTCGGCCCTAAGAAGCCCTTGGGACACGTAAGCAGCCAGTTAAGACGCTATAATCAAGAGTCCTGGCAGGATAATTAATAGATTTAGGCTGGTTGAAGCAAAGGTTTAGTGTTGTTCTTCCTTTTCCTAGACAAACTGTAACCAAGAAATCGGTCTAGGGACCAGTGGGCAAGGAGCGAACGAACGTATTCCGCACAGGATGGAGGGCTGTCTGTTAGGGGATCCCCAAAGGATCCTGCTTCTGGATTTACCAAACCGTTGCAGGATCTCAAAGGATTTCCTCCGTGACCCCTCTCTGTTATCACATCCTCGGTCTCTGCAGCTAAACTCTTCTTCCGATAGCAGAAAAGAAAAGGGGGTGAGGGAGCTGCTCACCCCCTTAAAAGAAAAGGGGGCAGCTCCCTCACCCCCTTACCGCGTCCCCCGCTCCAATATCTTCCCCCACCCTCATTCTATCATCTCCATTCATCTTTTACCTTTTTCGCCAAGGGAAACAACTCCAACCTTCGGAACACTCAGACATCGAATCTTAAAGTGATCATGGAAACCTGTTTTAAATAGGCCGGTGCCAGAAAGGTTCAAGGTGCCGCCTCGCCCGCCTTTCCGCACTTTGCCTCTAGCCGCTGGGTGGGCGGGGCGGTGCCCACTGTGACTCCGCCCACGTCGGGTCTCTCTCCAGCCCCAGCCCCGCGGCGCCCAGACCAGCGGGCGAGCCCCAGTCCGCATGCTCTGTAGCCCGGGCCGGCGGGCCACGGGTTGGCGGCCGCAGTGGCGACCGCGGTGGCACCGGCCGGAGCCCCACGGGTGCTCGCGCTCCCACTCTGGGGTCGCCACCTGGGCCGGCGCCGGGCGGGCTCGCGCCTTTCCATGCTGCCAGACCTGGGACTGCGGAGCCGGCCTGGTGGCTCCCGCGATGGCGGCGGAAGAAGAGGCTGCGGTGAGAGGTGAGGCTGCGGGCGGGCGTCCTCAGGTGGGGGCGCGGCGCCAAACGCGCGGTGGGCGCCCCTGGCCCGGCTGCGGGGCGAGTAGGAGGCGCAGCATCGCCAGATGGCACACTTTGCTGGGGCCTCCTTTCCAGCCCGGCATCGCCTCTGTTTGACTCCGGAGCTAAGGTCGTCCCTTGGGGCACAGGTGCGGCTCAGCTGCCCGCGAGTCCTCCCTCCTAGGGAGAGGGAGATGGGGAGTGACGCCCGCAGTCGCCGCTGGCTTTCACTCTGCCCGTAGCCGGTTTTTTTTTTTTTTTTT